AATATATATCCATATATATATTCTAGTCTCCTTTGCCCCTACCCACCCTTTTGCACCCCCTCAGAGCTACCCTCCTGCCGCCCCGTGTGTCAGACTGGCCAGCTACAGGTTCTGGAGACGAGGCCACCCAGGGATATCCTACAGCCCAGACCCATCATGCTCAAGTCTTCTCACTGGAAAGGTCAGGAGTTTAAAAGAAATTTGTTGCTAATCCACTTGTCAATCTACCTCGAAGTTTGTGTCGTTTTGTTTCACGGTCTACTATCAGACTAGTATGTCAGTTGTTCCCTTGTCTATCTACCATCAGATCAGTAAGTCCATTGTTCCCCTTTTCCCCTTGACTCTCTACCATCAGACTAGTTTGTCAATTGTTCCCCTTGACAATCTACAATTATAGTAGTATGTTAATTGTTTTCCAAGACTATCTACCTTCAGACTAGTAGGTCAATTATTCCTCTTGACTATCTACCATCAAGCTAGTAAGTTACTATCTATCATCAGACTAGAATGTCAATTGTTCCCATTGACTATTATATCTACCATCAGACTAGTAACTTAATTATTCTCCCTTACTAGTAAGTTCCTATCTACCATCAGACTAGTATGTCAAGTTCCCCTTTACTATCTACCATCAGACTAGTAAGTAACTATCTACCATTGTCTGATCTTCTGGTAGGAAAGATCTACACCTAGCCTCCTCGGACAAGGGCAAAAGTCTTTGGGGTCTCGTGTGCAAGTTGCGCGCGTTAAAGATCCATTGGTGTTGTAACATCGATAAGAGTAGTATTCGGTCGCCACCAGGGCAAAATTCAGTATTTCCTACCAAATGAAAATGTTTAATGCGTCCAGAGCGCTCTTATTATGACCTTATACGGTTGCAAGTGCCGTAAAACGCTTACAAAAAAAAAAGAAAAAAAAATTCAAAGTAATGCAATGCCAGAAGTCAGTGAAGTTGACTATGTGCACAGGGTCTTCCTGTGTGTTAGTGTTTGTCTTTTCAATCAGCTGCTTGCTCTGTGTGCTTCCTTGGAAACCGAGAGTGTTTCTGATTGTCCTGTAGGCTGCTTGGGTAATAAGATAGATTGTAAAGCACATTAAACTAGCTGTTTAGCAGGGACATGCGCTATACAATATATGTTTAAACTTGAAGCAAAAGGAGAAAATGGAAATGTTGGAAATGTACAATTTAAAGTCTGTATTTCAAAGTGAGTATAGCAGTAACTTTTACCTTACAGAGCGCCAGACTTAGCTGGGTTATCCCTTAGATCATTCGCGGAAAATTAAGTTGAATTTTCCAGAATACGACAAGGGAAAACACTCATTTTTTATTTTAAAATCGTGATTTCCGTTGTTGTTGGTTATTTTTCCCCCACTGGAGTCTTCCTGCTATTTGTTATTACTAGCTATATCACAATTATGCAAACGATTAAAGACAGAGAAATTCAGCAAGTGTACATTAATAGATTGTTAGTACTTTTATGGACATGGTCTCCCCCCGGGGGGTGCCACTGACTGTAGTGTTTTTAGGTCATTCCCAAAGGGGGGACATTACTCGTTCAAGCATAGTAGAATTGTAAATGGACTGATTAATCATGTCACGCTCATAACTGTGCCTGATCTACAACAGGGAACTGCTGCTTTTTCTTTCCTAATCTTTACTATTGTCATTTTCCTCTACTTCTTTTGTATGTTTGTCACTCTCTTGTGACCTGCTATTTCCGGCGTGCCTTGATAGTCGAAGCAGACCTTGTGCTGATGAAGCTAGAGAGGTGAGCAGAGTAAGTCCGGTTCCCTGTAAAAACCTCTCTATCGACACCCACCCCTTGGCGTTCATATGACCTTATGCAGTGGTGAGCGCCGTAAAACCCTCTACTATAAAAAAAGACATGGTCAAATGAGGTTGAAGGAGCGAGATTGTTTGTAAGGTGAAAGCTAAAAAAAGAATGCTTGTTAGTACTAACAGTAGTTGAACCTGCTCTAACGACTACTAGTACAAGACAATCACCTTTATAAACAAACATTGGCCACCTTGCGTCTTAATTATATATAACTAGCTGGGTACCTCGTTCGATGAACGGACTCTTTACTTTACTTTTCCGATCCAGGATGAAGAGAATCAACAGAATTGATCGCCAAGTCACTGTGAGTTTAGTGCGCTCTGCTTGTGAACGGAAGTCTCACTTGTTTACAATGTTGTCTTAGAAAACGGACTTTCCCAAGATTAGATTTAAACGAAACTAATGGAACACTGAAAATTAAACAATAGAGACATCAGACTCCTTAATATAACATATAACTGTGTACCCTTTAAATAATTGTGAACCACATTTAATTTTTTCAAATTTGGAAGTTAAGTGGTTGTGAAGTTTTAGGTGGCCAAAGTGACGAACTTTCACAAATAGATAATAGATGTACATATTATCACACTGCCCGTGACATGACTTCCCAATTCCCACGTTATTGTGTTGTTTTTCTATAGGATAGTGCCACTGCCCAAGCGGACCATCTGTGTAATATTTTTCTTCTTTTTTCATTGCTCAGCATTTAGTGATGGTCTTAGACTAGGTAGGCGGTACTTTTTTTAGAACCAGGGATCAAAATTCAAAATAGGGGAGGGAGGGAGAGAGAGGGGGGGGTAGA